CTTTGATGCACAAAAGTTTTAATTTTCATGAAATTCAAGCATCAGAATTATGTGGAATTGCTGTAAGGTCAAAGACATAGACCAATGGAATAGAACTAAGTCCAGAAATAAAATCACATATCTATGGCTAACTGATTTTCAACAAGGGTGTGAAAGACCATTCAACTGGGAAAAAATAAGTCTCTTTAAGAAGTAGGGCTGGGGGCGCGCCTGGGTGGCTCAGTCGTTAAGCGTCTGCCTTCGGCTCAGGTCATGATCCCAGGATCCTGGGATCAAGCCCCGCATTGGGCTCCCTGCTCGGCGGGAAGCCTGCTTCTCCCTCTCCCTGCTGCTTGTGTTTCCTCTCTCACTGTGTCTCTGTTAAATAAATAAAGAAAATCTTTAAAAAAAAAAAAAAAAGGAAGTGGGGCTGGGACAACTGGATTTCCACAAGCAAAAGAATGAATTTGGATCCTTACCTCACATCGTACACAAAAATTAACTCAAAATGGGTCAGTGACCTAAACATAAGAGCTAAAGCTATAAAACTCTTGAAAGAAAACGTAAGGGTAAACCTTAATGATTTGACAATGAATTCTTACAAATGGTACCAAAAAGCACAATCAACCAAAGAAAAAAAATAGATAAATTGATACTGTAGTCTTCTAGTAAGTTTTGGGAAAATGAGAAAGTGTGAGCCCTCCAACTTTATTCTTTTTAAATATTGTTTTGACTGTTCAAGGCCCCTTGTGACTCCATATGGATTTGAATGTCAGCTTTTCCATTTCTGCAGAAAGGCGATTGGAATTTTAATAAAGATTTCATTTATTGATTGTAGATTGCTTGGGTTGTTTTGCCTTCTTAACTATACTTAGTATTCCGGTTCACAGACACCCGATGAATGTCTTTCTGTTTACTTACGTTGTATTAGTCTGCTTGGGTTGCCATAACAAAATAACTCAGACTCAGCAGCTTAAACACAGCTATGAAATTGCCCTCTGAGCCTGCTTTTTCTGTATTCCCTACATTTTTATGTGTTGTATATTCATTTTCATTCATCTCAAAGTATTTTCTCATTTTCCTTGTGAATTGTTCTTTGCCCCATTGGTTGTTTAAGACTATGTTGTTTAATTTCCACAAATTTGTGAATTTTCCAGTTTTCTTTTTTTCTTGATTTCTATCTTCATTCCATTGTGGTCAGAGAAGATACATTGTATGATTTCTGTCTTTTAAAATTTATTGAGACTTACCCAACATGTGGTCTGTTCTGAAGAATATTCCATGTGCACTTAGAAAAATATGTATTTTCCTGTTTTTGGAGGGAGTATTTCTTAAAGGTTACCATTAGGATTGCAATTAATGTCTTCAACTTATAACAATTTATTTTGAATTATTACCACCTTACCTTCACAAAAACTCTACTCCTGTATACAGTCTGTTCTTCCCCCATTATGTTGTGGTTGTCACATATTACATATTTATACACTGTGTGCCCAGTAAGATAGAAATGCAATTATTGTTTAATGCATTTGTCTTTTAAATCATATTGGAAAAAAAATAGGAGTTAGAAACCCAAAACACAGTAATACTGACCTTTTTATTTACCTATGTGATTACCTTTACCAGTATTCTTTATTTCTTCTTACAGCTTCAATTTACTGTTTAATGTCCTTTTATTTCTTTTTTTTTTTTTTTTTTTTAAGATTTTATTTATTTGACAGAGAGAGACACAGCC